CTTTTCACGTATATTTTCATTATAGGCTTTATTATGTGATGTTCTTAGGAATCTAATATTTCTATTTTTTAGTTTAAAGTTTTAAAAATGTCTTATGATATTTAATAGTGAGGTCAGCGTTAATAGGGTCACATCAAATATAAATTTTTGAAGTATGAAATATGTTAGAATGTAAGCTTTCAGAACAGTGATATGTTTATTTTTTCTGGGTGACCCATGGCTACTACAGACTATTTGTTTATTATGTTATAGAACAGCTTATGATTTTAATCTCAAACCATGTGACAATAACCCTTCATTATAAAGTTTTATGGGAGGTATCAACACCCCTTATGTGGGACCATCGTGTAACAGATAAAAAACTTCCCTCCTTTCTCCTAAGAACACATTCATCCAAAAGCCAGTGTGGTTCTACATTTGAATTCTTCATCCCCTCCGATGAGACTGTCATTTCCCATCCTGTCCGGCCCATCACTACAACTACAGAAATCATGCCTTGCTCTTCTTCATTGCTTCAGAAACAATTGCCCTTCCTTCAGGTTCTGTTCCCATTTCTTTTATTTTTAGTCCCTAAAGACATTCCTATTTGAGATTTTAATTATACTTTTTAAGAAATGTTTGCTATATTTATCTATAACACGTGGCTTTTAGACTGTAATTTTTATATTATCTAGAATTATCTTTAAATGCATAAAATTGTTTTAGTAAACATTAATTAATTTTGTAAGCATTTCCTTAAGTTTGTGCCTTTTGTTGCAATTTACATGCTGTTTCTTTTCTCTTAGACATTCCTTACAGTGCATAACCATTATTTCAAGACTGTTGAAGGTCTGCAGGAAATCTAATTTAGTAGGTCATTATACTAACTTAATTCTTGAATGTCAGTTTAGCTGCATATTTAATTTTGACTTCACTGTTTATTTTTCTCCAATACTTTGCTTTGAACAAGTGGCTTCATTATTTTCTGACATCTATTGTTACTAAAAACCTATCCTTGTTGAAATTGTCACTTTACTACATAATTGAAAAAGAAAAATTAAGATATGAAGCAGTATTCTTAATGGAACCCCAAGTTTCTAAAAAGCATTTGTACAAGATTTCTTCACTAACACCTAACTTCTGACAACAAGAATTCAGATAGGGAGGGGATGCCCTTTCTTAGAAACCACTGAGCTCCCAGAATCCAGATTGCAAGTGGTGTGTCACATACATCACTTTGGAAATTTAACTTAATAATATTATGCCAAGAGCAAGAAGTTTTCATTGCTAGATTTCATATTAAAAATGAAAGCAATATACAAGTTCAAATTTTTAATAAAATACTATTCACATTTTTTGAAAAACATGCATATGTTTTTAAAGAATTACAACTTATAGGTAAAGTCCATTTTATGCTGTTTTAATAAAGTACCAAACAATTTATCATTTACTTATTTATTTTTGATTATGTGCATGTGAGTGTAGGCATGTACACATGAATGTGGGTGGCTGTGGAGGCCAGAGGGGCCAGATCCTGGAGCTGGAATTATAAGTGGCTGTGAGTCACCCCAGGTGGGTATGGACTCAGGTCCTCTGCAAGAGCAGCACGTGCTCTTAACCATGGAGTCATTTCTCCAGTCCCCAAGCAATTTATTATGAGGAAATAAAGCTGAGGAACAATCAACTGTTTGTTGCTGTACATCTCTGCAATTTCTTAAGAGTGTTTGGATCTGAGTATTTCCTTCTTGTTTTAGAAAAGAGTTCAAATTATTGATAATGAAGAGGTATTACATTTTTGATTAAAACTCAAAATCTACATGCATAATAACCCTTTATACTAGCTAGTTTTGGATAGAGTGTTGATTGTTTTTAATTTTGACAATGGACAGACAGCTTCTCTGCAATTTTTTTCTCTCGTCAAAAAAAAAAAAAATGCAGCCTGCATAGTACCTTGTTGGTATTTCTGTCAATGTTTGAAGTAAATGGTCCACTTTGAGCACTCTTTATACAAATAGGGTACTGAGGCCAGATGTTAATGACAGCTATCTTTCTCAGTCACTCTTTACCTTAGAATTTTTGGGGGTGGGGGCAGGGAGCTCTAACTGATTGTAGAGCTCAATGATTAAGCTAGACTGACTAGGATCAAGCCATAGGGATCTAGCATGGGGATCACCAGTGTGCATCATCACGTCCACCTTTTTATTTGGATGCTACAATTCCAGTTCAGGGCCCTGTGCTTGTCCAGTAAGTACTTTACCAGCAGAGGTACCTCACCAGGCCTGGACTTGTTCTTTTTTTTCTTTTTTCTTTCCCAGACAGGTTTTCTCTGTGTAAAAGTCCTGGCTGTCCTGGAACTCACTTTGTAGACCAGGCTAGCCTCGAACTCACAGAGATCCACCTCCCAAATGCTGGGATTAAAGGCTTGCACCACCACTGCCTGGCCTCCGGATCTGTTCTTTATTCTTCCTCTTACTTAACATTTGTATTACTGTTTACATTTAATTCCTTATTGTTTGTGTTGTTCAAATTCTTTTCTCTCCTAACTATGACTGCCCCTGTCTATTCAGGCTTCCTTGTCTCTAGAAGTCTTACCTGAGCCACCCTCACTCCCAGGTAATCAATTTTTCTAGGTCTTCCCAGTCATTTCCAATTTTTATTTTCACCCACTTTCTCACTTCTATCATTATAGAATGGCATATTATAAAGGAGACCAAATTATCAACCTCTTTAAAATTAAGTACCTTTAACAAACTAAAGACAACAAGACTTCCTATTTCTGCATTTAAAACTCGGTGCATCTCACATTCGGGGAGCACACTATCTTTAGTAGGAAACCCACATGAGTGTGCTGAAGCTTTCGTTACTGTTAACATTATGAAACTTTCTGTTCTTTTTGCCAAGGTGAATTGATGTAGTCCAGGATTTTGTTCTTTTCAATAGAAGACTAGCAACTTTATGAGAAGTCTTAAGGAAAATGGGGTGTGTGTGTGTGTGTGGGGGGGAGACTTGTATAACAAGTACAGCTTGAGTAAGTGATATTTTTACATGAGAATTTCTGGCTCAGTATAAGAAAGAATATTTTACAGCTCCAAACAGCAATCTGAAATCCTTCAAACTGATGTAAATGCTTTTGAATATTAGAAATTCCTTTTGAAACTAGGAAAAAGTTAATTTTGATATATCATTTTTGAAAATAGAATTATCCTGGGAGAATATTACACAGTTATATCCTCATGAACATAAATCTGAAGACTATCTCTTATCTTTAAAAACTGTACATTGTTTTGATGCCAGTAATAGGATTAGTGATGCCAAATCTGGATTTGTGTTTGGCTGTGAAGTTAATTACCATATGTAATTAGTTTTTCAGGTGGTCCTTTAGAAGGTGGTTTTAATACCTATCTTGCTTCTGCATAGCATCAATGTGAGGGTGAAAATCAGGTAATGTATATACATTGTAAGCTTCCAAGCACTGCACTTATCTATGACTAAACCCAGAAAAGACATCATTGCTTATGAAATTTTATGTAATGAAAAGATACTCTCTCTATCCTCAACTATTTCTCCTTGAATAATAAGGCTTTTGTACTCAGTGGCTCCCATCCTGATTAATGCAGACACAGAGCATTTCAAGTCATGGTAGTGAGTTCTATTGGGCAATGCTACTCTAGAAAATTCTCCTAAGAAAGTAGACCTGAAATCTTACAAGCTTGGGAGGCTGAGACAGGAAAATGGTGAGGGCAAGGCCTTTCTCGGTGATAGAGTAAATTTCATGGTGGCCTGTGCAACTTAGTGAGACTCTCATCTCAAAATTACAAAACCACACCAAAATGAAACAAAAATACTGAAAAATCAATACAAAGAAGATAAGGAAGCAAAGACTGGACACAGAGTACATGCCAAGCATGCGTGGGTCCTACGTACAATCCTAAACACTGGAAAACAAAGGACAAAGATACCATCAAAGAAATGCCAAAGAGAAATAAGGCAATTTAAAACTAGGTTAGCATAAGTGAGCAAACTGTTCTCTCCGCAAAAATGACAATTAAATTTGCTGTGCGAAGATTTAAGAAATTGTGAAATAGGCAGGTTGCACTGGTTATTGCCAATCACTTGGGCAACATTATCTGTCAGTCTCAGCTGTTTTTGCCATGAAATGTTAGATGTTGCCACCAAATATACAACATGATACTGTGCAGTGTCATAAGTCAGCTAAAACACTTGTAAACATATGTCATGTCAGTCATTAAGGAAAAGGTATAATTACACTTTTAAATGTGGTGAAGCATTTTGAAAGTGGTGTATAATTTTCCAGAACAGGGACCTTTGTGAACATATCCCTCTCTGAGTGCTTACGCAGCCTGACATCTTCAGGTTTGTTCAAATCAGAGCCCCACTGTGAACACGCCAGCTGCAGACAAAGGAAGTAATTTGTTGGTTAGGGTGCATTTCATTGAGAGAAGCAAGCAGAAGGAGTGATATCAGCACAGAGTCACAGAGACAGAACACTCGAGACAGTGGAGTAAACTGCCAGGTTAGAACAAGCAGCCGAAAATGGCTACTTCTGATAATATTAAAGGAACACATCTTTAATCATTGATCATAACCAATGAAATCCAGGCACGAATGAGGCTTTATTCCATAAAAAGCTGATATCTTTGCATTCTTGAGTCATAAAGATCTCAAACACATCACGATTCAGCATGCACACTTTTTAATTGCTTGTTCAGCTCAGCCTCCCACTACTTGAGCGCTTTCCCTGGTTCTCAACCTTCTTAATGCCGCGATACAGTTCCTCATGTTGTGGTGACCCCCATCCATACATTATTTTTGTTGTTACTTCACAACTGTAGTTTTGCTACTGTTATGAATCATAATGCAAATAGTTTTGGAGAAAGAGGTTTGCCAAAGTGGTTTTGACCCACAGGCTGAGAACCACTGCTCTAAGGCAGCTACCCAGCCCTCTCCATTCTTCTCATCTGTGCACCACAGAGCTCTAATCACAAGGCAGAGCTGCAGGCTCACTCCTCACATTGCCGCTTCACACTGCATCTCTTTTGACACACAGTCGTTTCATAGTGAGCATGCTCTACGAATAAATAATATGAAGAGGCTAAATTTATTTCTCTTTCCTCTGTTAAATCATTTCTTGGAGGCTCTGTGCTTTGGACTTTTGCAATGTAGACTTTCTGGTGTCTACTTTAGCATCTCATATTTTTTCCTATTTGAAAAACTTGGTTAAATCAAATACAGCAACACAGTGAAGTCATACAGAAATATTAAAAAAATACAGAATTTTTACTCAATGTTTATTTCATTATAATATAAAATATACAATGCTATTGGTATGAAAAAATCTGAATTTCTGGCAAGTATTATGTTTTTTACATAATTAATTGTTTGGGGCATCCTGTTTTTCCATAATTCAGTTACCTGAATAGGTCTATACTAGCCATTAAAAAACACATAATAATTTTAGTTTTTTTTTTCTTCTTATTTTTCAGCATAAGAAATTAATCAAAGGTCAGTGTTATCTTAATGACCGGAAAACAAATAAACCAAAGCACTGCTTCTGCTTCCAGTGTTAGTCAGACCCACTCTGTCTGAAGTGTGTATGTATAGACTTGTAAACCCTCCAGTGACTTTTGAGGTTAAGCAGCAGCTATACAATTTCCTTTCATTTTATTTTGTCCTTCCCTGTCTCCTTTTGTTTTGGTTGCAAGGGTTTGTAAACTTTATATTGTCTAATCCTCTCACTTACTTGTTAATACACTCAGTCAGAATACCATCATCTTTTTTTTTTTTTTTTGGTTTTTCGAGACAGGGTTTCTCTGTGTAGCTTTGCGCCTTTCCTGGAACTCACTTGGTAGCCCAGGCTGGCCTCGAACTCACAAAGATCCACCTGGCTCTGCCTCCCAAGTGCTGGGATTAAAGGCGTGCGCCACCACCGCCCGGCCCCATCATCTTTTAATAGGAGATTTTGTTTTGTTTTGTTTGAGATAGAGTTTCTCTGTGTAGCCCTGGCTGTCCTGGAACTCACTCTGTAAATCAGGCTGGCCTCAAACTCAGAGATCTGCTTGCCTCTGCCCCTCCTCCAGTACTGGGATTAAAGGTATCTGCCACCACCACCAGCGTAATCCATTCATATTGACTATGGAAACTGTTCAGATATTAACCATAAGTCTGCTTCTCTTGTCCTTTCTCAATAGGCATTTCCTACTAACCTGTATACTGTCCTTTTCACAGTCACAACCCCCTCAGCCTGTGCTGCTTGGCCTATAAAATTCATATCTCTCTAGACCTACTAGATGACTACTGAAATATCCATGTTCTTATGGCACAGCTTTTTGATATTATTTGATTATGTTGATTCTTGCATGAATTTTCATCAGTATTAAGCCATTTTACTTAATGTGTCAACTCACAGCTTTATTTTACAGTTAACAGTGGGTCAATTTCAGTACATTTGTGCTCTCCACTAGATAGTTTTCTTCTTCTTAAGATCTATTTTATTTCATTTTGTGCGTATTCGTGTTTTCCCGCATATATGTATGTGCACCGTGTGTGTCTCTGGTACCCGAGAAGAACAGAAGAGGATATCAGAGCTTCATGGATCTGGAGTTACCAGTGGTTGTTAGCTGGCATGTGGGTGCTGGGAACCAAACCTGGATCTGGCAATGGCAGCAAGTGCTCTTAACTGTGGAACCATCTCTCCAGCCAGAGATAGCCAGAGATTCCATAATGTCTGTAGATGTAACCAACCGTCTTGCTCTGCCATTCCAGATCCTTCATTCTCAGACAGAGATAGGAAGGAGTGGAAAGGGTGGAACGGTGGGATCTCCTCACTCTCCTTAGAGCTCACCCAGACATCCACAGGGCTCTCTGAGATGGAGCAGGTGAACTGGTCCATATCTGCTTGCTGTTCCTGAAGGAGCTCATCGATTTCCTCCTGGATTTCTTGAGCCACATAAGGAACTTTGTACAATAGAGAAAGGCTTTGGTTCCTTCTTTCTTCAATTACACGGAGGTGTGTCATCACCTGGGATTTCATCTGGGCAGCCTTTGCTGGGTCAACAGCCAACACGTGCTGGTAATGACGAATGGTATGTAGGCGATCTTTATTTTCAGCACGGACGTAACGACGCAGAGCTTGCAGAATACGATGTGGCCGAGGTGAGTCAGACTGCAGGGCAGCCAGGTAATTCTCCAGAGCTATCTGCTGGCGGTCATTCAGCATGGCTTCCACTCGGGCCAAGCGAGTTACCACAAGCTGCTGCTTCTCGCTGGCTGCTTCCTTCTCTAAAGCTTTAACCATAGCTTGGAAGTGCTGAATGAGGGTCTGTCTCTCTGCTTTGGGGAGGTTCTTGGCTTGAAGCTCTGCCTCTTCCCATTCCTTCTTTACCCTATCCATTCGATTGCAATGCCGAATTTCCAGTTATTCCTTAGCCTTCTGGAAGTGGGCGTGCTCGTTATCATCTGCTGAGGTCTCAAAATACACATCAACATCATTGGTTGGCAGGGGAGTTGGGGGAACTTTCACATCGTGAGCAATGTCTTTGTCTGAAATAGTGCCATCGCTGCTGGGTTCAGTTGGGTTCTTTTCATTGTAGTCATCTCCTTTAAGAGTCATAGTAGTAATCACGGTCTTCCACCACTTCCCCTTCCTCCTCATCCTCATCCTCTTCATCTGCAGCTGCTTCTGTGAAGTCTTCCAAATCTTCTTCAGTAGGAAGTTCACTTTTATCAAGATCATAGTCTTCCTCTTCATCCTCCTCCTCCTCCTCTTCCTCCTCCTCTTTGGACATAGTAGAGTCAGAGTCAACAATCTTTGTCTGAGGGCAGCACACATACTCGGTACCGTGGAACTGGTCTACCCCACAAGGCAGCAGCATGCCGTAGCTATAAAAGGTCATCCCCTCAGTCAGACATGCCTCCTTGACTATGGTGTGCCAACGCTGGTGCTTCTCACACACCTCCATCCGCTCTCGGTGGAAAAACTGGCAGTTTTCTGAAACCAGCAGAACATCACTAATGAACTCACCCACAAGACACTTGAATGGAATGATGATGTGACTCTTGCACTGTTTTTTTGTCCCTTCAGCACCAGTCATCAATACTGACTGGCTGATTTGCTTACATCACATTTGTGATCTGCAGCTCTGGATAGATCTCCTGGCAGTACTGAAGAACTTCTTCCTTTGTTCCAAGGCAGCTCTTGGTACCTGTTGGGTCAGGCTCCCATATCCCAGTCTAGATTCCATAATGTCAGGTCATGTCTCCTGGAGTTCTCTCATGTTCCTCTGAGAAAAGATTACACTTTTTCTTAATTCACATTAGGTTTCATTGTTAATTTTATTTCCCTAAAGTTTGGGGGATTTCCTTGATTTCTTCTTTGTCCTATTTGCTGTTCTGAAGTGCTCATGACTTTTAAGCACACACTTGTCTTCCTGTTCTGAATTCTTGGTGTATTGGTAGGAATGACGTAAGGCTCTGCCTACTTCTTTTATTATTAAGGCAAGGCCACTGAAGCCTCCCTACACTTTTGGCTTTGAACCATGACTCTGCTAGTTTAAAAAGATAGGATAAAATTGCTATAATTTTTTGAAAGAAAATTTAGAAGATGAAGATTAATTTTTAATTAGATTTAAAATGATGTAACTCAGGGATTTAAGATTATGTTAATTTTCGGTTATATTTTATGGAGTGGTATCTACCTGGAAAATTTCAAAAGAGAGTTTATTGCACATATAAATTTTAAATAGATGAAATCAACTAACCGATTGAGTAAAATAGTGATAAAATGTGTCCTGGAAATCAGGATGCCATAAAATGGAATCCAAAGGAAGAAGAGATGCCAAAGCTGCAGAATGTTTTGGACCTTGAATGTGGGTGTGAAATGAACTCAGTGCTTCTTTTTCCCAGAGGTGTTGGGTGTTATTAAAGGATGCACCACATATAAGTCTCCTGTGACCTTGTTCATGCGGCTGACATTTTAATGGCAAAAATGGCAATCTTTTCTGGAGAAAGATCTGAGTAGGAAATTGTGAGGGGTACAGACTACTTAAGGAAGATCATGAGGGTTAGAATTTGACTTGCATTTGGAGCAGTGGGCCAGGGACTATAGACCTGTGAACTGTGTGTGAACCCATTCAGTACAGGCTGTCATTTATACTACATGTTGGTGTCCTTGGCTGGATAGGTGGAGAGAGCTCCCTCTATTGGTTACTTGTGTGAGTTGCCTTGTTAAGTACCCTTGCAGTAGTCAGCCTCACGCTCTGATCTCATGGTTGGGTGTTGAGAAAGGAAGGGACAGAAGCAAAGAAAAACAAAACAAAACAACAACAACAACCCCCTGCAGAAACAAAAAGCTACAGTACAGTCTTCACTCTGTGGACAAAAATTTAGAAGGGCCCTTACTTTTGCAAGTGCTATTCCCTTGGCCTTATCTGCTATATGATTACCTCCCAAAATTTCAAAGCTCTGCCTGGTGCCTTCTGCATACTCATCCTACTCTCTTCTGAACATGGAGAGATAGATGTGTCTATAAGAATTGTGGTCAGAAACCTCTGGGTTTTGTATCTAACTGCTTCCACGCTTAACTCACAGCTTTTCCTACATGGTCATTTATGAAACAGCCTGAGAGTATGTTCATAATGAAAGCACTCCCCGCTAACACTTGGAACATCTCCATGAATATGTAGCTTTTCCCAAAAAGTGCATGAAGCTGGATGTAGCTTAGTTGTGAGCCTTTACCTGAAATAGTTTTTAGGGTTTCCTAGAGGAACAGAGCTGATGGAATGATTACTTATGATAAAGGGATTTATCAGATTGGGTTGCATGATAGGGCATAAGTAGTTCAGCAATAGCTGTCTGCATGCCAGAGAGGCTAACTCAGTACCCATTTAGTCCAAACATCTGGGTGCCTCAGTTCACCAAACATTTCCCTAAAAACCTGGAGGATTTCTGGTAGGAGTAGTCTACTTTTGGGCATTCTACCAACAATCCTGAACTTTGGAGGATGTCCTCCAAAGGTACATGAGTTAAGGCTTCAGCCCTAGGATGGCTTTGGCCCCAGAGTGGACCTGTTCACAGATGTTGGGACCTTTGGGAGGTAGGGCCTAATGGGGAGTCTGTCACTCACTGGAATGTATCCTGGAAGAGCATGATGAGAACCACCGGCCCTCCTCATTCCTGTCCTTCCTGGATCATAATGGAAGCAGTTTTCTCCACCACATGCCCCTCCCACAAGTTACCAACCTTGCCAGAGTCCAAAGCAACTGGCTGCATGATTTTGGACTAAAACCTCCAGAATTGTTAACAAAAATCAACTTTTTTTCCTTTACAAGTTAATTACATAAAGTATTTCATTAAAGTACTGGATAGTACAAGTTTATATTTTCTTTCTTAATTATAATTCTGTGCTTATAAGGGTTTAGTCATGATCTTCATTAATCTCTTATGTACAAAGCTTTAAAAACTGTTAGGAATATAACAGATGCTGACAAATATGATTACCACAAACAATCAAGTCACTCTTTATACTTACTGTTTTTCTAACTTTACAACTATTTGTCCCTAAAGGCAGTTACTATTTGTAACTAATCTTTCAGTGCTACTTATAATGGTCAAAATTAGATATTTGTTAAATAACATATTGATATTTGTTCTTCATTGGCAAATATTCGTGGATTTTATTCGTTGAAGTAAATGAGAAAAATGTTTAAAGGAGATCTTTTTGTTCATCAAGCCTTGAGGTAATGGCACACTCTAAGTAACGAAGGTCACCCTTTGGCATTAGCTCTGGTATTAGCTGGGCATACACCCCTGACCTTGCTGATCTTTTCCGTTTCTCATACTATATCTCATTCATCTTTGGACTTGTTTAATATCACTCTTATCTTCTCTCTGCTCTTGTCTCATTCTTTGCATTTATTATCACTCTCTTTTCTCGCTAGAATTTTCCTGGTTCTCAAAATACCGGTTTTTGTAGACCAGCTTTAATTTTTCTACAGTTCCTACAGTTTCAGCTCTGGACTCTGCTCAACACTCTGTTTTTCCCAATTCTGCTTTGTGCAGAGGACTTTCAACCAGCATATAATGGTCCAAAGTGACTGATAAACTTGGTACAACCCTTCAATATCTTTTAAGGATACACATGCTTTGTTTATTTCACAGACACATAAGAGGATATACAATATACATTGGGCAAAATAATCTATAAATTCTAAATCCACAGTTACACAGTCTTAACGGTATTTTCAAGATGACCCCAATCTATTTCTGGTAACCTGTCTATCTCAAAACCTAATGAATATAGGTTACCTTGAGCAAGAGACACATAAAGATAAAATTATTTTAAGGATGTAAAAAAATTTTAATTGTGTGTGTGTGTAGCGGGGGGTAAGGGCATCTGAGCAGCAGTGCCCATGGTGGCCAGAGGCATTGGATCTCCTGGAGCTAGAGTTACAGGTGATTGTGAGGTACCTAATGTGGGAACTGAACTCCAGTCCTCTATAAGAACATTACAGACTCTTAATTGGTGAGGCATCTCTCCAGTCCAAAGAATACAAATTTTAGTCTTTCAATGAAATTCTCTGTTTAGTTTAGTATATGTATTTTTGCTAGATGGAAAGACTAACACCAGGCAAGGTAGTAGTGACAATTACAAAAACTGAGAGAAGATTTTTAAAAAAAGCCATTTTTTCCAGACATGTTAATGGGAGAAAATTTAAAACTCTGACAGGAAGATTTTGTACAGTATGTGAAATCTCTTACTGGGTCACCGTTACTCAAAGAAGGATCTGTTGAAAATAAGGAATTCACAGCTTTCCTGCTGACATGGGGGGAAAGAAAACTTCAAAGGAAACCTTGAAGAAATGATTTTTTAAAGCAGGACAGTTGAGGCTTGACCCAGTAATAGGTTTTGAAAGGGTGTTTGATATCTCTGTGGTAAGTCAGGCTGTCCCACAGACAAGCTCCTAACCTGAGTACAAGCAGGCTCGAGGCACCTTAATAACAATATTGATTGACTATAAACAAAGACAGGCACACGAAGCCAGGAGAGTAGAGAAAAAAATGTATTTTGGGGAAAGATTATTATCCTCCTTTGGGATGACTAATACCACAGACTTAGAAATTCATTTTACAACAAACATTTTTGAGATCCTTCAATGTGTCCAGTACGAGATAAAAGGTACACTTCTAATCCTCTAGGCATCTGCAGACTGCTTTGTGTGTTTTAGGCAGTTTGGCAGAGGAGGGAGGAATCCATGGCCTCTATACACAAGCTTAAATCTGCCACTTTGGTATTACCAGTAAGCCACATTCCTTTTAATAGTACTGGGAAAGGAACTATACTACACAGATTGGCTCTCAATATGTTTCCATCACAACATAGCTCAATGACTTAACACGGCTCATGCAAGTCACTTTCTTGAGCTTTAATTTCCTCTGGACCACATATTGGACACCATTACAGTGGTAGTATTGAGAGGAAAGAAAACAGTAAACAAAATAAATTTTGAGTCAGCTTCTAGTTCTAAAATTTAAATTCTCTTGAGATTTGATATAAAGTACAACATTCTGATTAGACTTCCAGAGATCTAGGTAAACAGATTTTTTTTTTTCAAAAATTGGTTTGTATCATGTCTGTTGGGGCCTTTCAGAATCAATGATTTATATTGCTGGCTTGCAGTCTTTGAGCGGATTCTCCATCTGGTCTGTAGTACGCAGAAGAAGCACCACATCCCCAAGCATCATAGTAGGTGAGCTTTTGGGAGCAAGTTAGCTACATCTTAAAGAGCCAACCATATACACACATTATAGGCTCTGGACTTCATAATCATCTACCAATCAAGTAACACTGCTCAAAGCAGGAAGAATTCTAGAACTGAAGGGATGAAAGAATAGATAATTCAATTTTACAATCTAATGAGAAGACAAAAGCATCGAACAACAAAGAGTATTATTATAAATCACAGCTCCACATCTGTGTTTGGTCATGGTTGTGGCAACTGTTATGTGCCAGCTTTAATCAGCTTCATTCAAGTACAGCTTGCTGGTGTTCCACTGTGGGCCTGTGGACTTCCACATGCATGAATCAGAGCTTCATGGACACTAGTGAGAACCTGCTGGGCACTCACTCATGGAACTGTGCCCCTGGAACACTCACACCTGGGCATGAGGATACATTCGTTCCCTAGTTTATCTTCGTAGATGCTTTAATTTGCATCTATTTAGGTACCTTGGAA